AGGTGGCGGACACGGTGGTCCGCTCAAACGCCCTTAAGAGTCATAGATTTGACTCCTAATTTCATCTCGGTAGGTGGCTAGGTAGGTTAGGCGTTAAAACGGGTGATTCGACGGTCGTGGTTTCGAACGCCGGCGGGGCCGTGTTAAATCGAATTTCTTTTTTTTGCGTTTTTTTTTTCGTCACATTTATCATTTTTAACGAAAGTGTTAATTTTTTTTTTTAATTTGCATTATTATATTATATATATTATTATTATTCGTTTGACGATATTTATTGGGCAAAAAAATAATTATAATTAACATTTATACCGACGCACCTACATGTTTCTTTTAATAATACATTATAATATAACTAACCTACGTGTAGTACCTACTTGATATATTACAGTTATTACGTGATTCCGATTTGGTTAAATACTGCTACAGATTATAAATACTATATTAAAAAATAGTACGACTGTAATATGACTGCTTCATTTGCCGTTTTTTTCGAAAATTCGAGTCCCGGGGTGGAGTAGTGTGTCGGAAACGAGAGTATGTGTAGTGTATTCATTTATAGATACCTACGTTTAATAGGATAGTAGTACATTTCAATAAAATTTGTTATTCACCAATATAATTATCTATTTGTTAATTTGACTTAATTCTCATAATTAAATAAATATACATGGAAGGTATATTTTAGAAAATATCCAATCAGAAAATTAGATTTTGTCGACTTATTCGTTATAACCGCGAAAAAATAACAATGATTACATTGATTACAGTGAAGCCTAACATAAAACACCTGATAACTGTTCTCTATAATTATCAACAAATACAATTTTATTACCTCCTGTATACTTTTTCATATTTGAACGGCCGTTTCGAGCACTTTTCGCTGTAGGCGGATTGTCCGTTCGGGAATCGGATTTCACCCGAGATGACTGATAGCTAGACACTCAAACTCAGAATCCGAATTTCCGATTTCAACACACATACGAGAACCGGACACACACACCCGGTGCATGGTCTGCGATCCGACGTAGTCGGATTGCCTACCTGACTAGCTACTTGCATACGAGCGACTTACACCCCCACTGCATCCGATCCGCCACAGGTGGATTGTCCGTTCGGGAATCGACTTTCATCCGAGATGACTGATAGCTAGACATTCAAACTCAGAATTCGAATTTCCGATTTCAACACACATACGAGAACCGGACATACACGCCCGGTGCATGGTCTGCGATCCGACGTAGTCGGATTGCCTACCTGACTAGCTACTTGCATACGAACGACTTACACCCCCAGTGTCCCCCACTGTATCCGACACTCGGGAATCGACTTTTACCCGAGATGACTGATAGCTAGACACTCAAACCCAGAATCCGAATTTCCGATTTCAACACACACACACCAGAACCGGACATACCCGCCCGGTGCATGGTCTGCGATCCGACGTAGTCGGATTGCCTACCTGGCTGGCTGTGTCGTACGATCGACTTGAATCGCGTGACTTACGACTAGACACTCTTCCGAGTTCAAAAATTACCGCTTAACCAGTGCTGCCAACACGACAAAACACAATAACCGACGACCCCCCATTCCCGCCGCAGGCTGGATCAAAAAACCCAGCATCGCCGACAAAGATGCACCACCGCCCACACAGTCTTTCCGCCGTAGGCGGGATGACAAACACTGGAATCTAGTATATATATAATAAATTAAGTCTATAGTAAATTGTATGGTATTTAATTTTGGTCATAGGTTTTTTTTATTGTAACTTGAAAAGCTGACGAGTTATATGTGAAAAGAATGAAAGGGGCGTGCCACCCTTTGAAGAGGGGTGGAGGGCCACGCACAAGGTGTAGGTGTCAGGACTTTTAGTATGTTTATAAGTGAGGTATAAAATAAAAAAATAAAATCCAGCTTTCGTGGAATTAGTTTCGAACTTTTTCTAATTTGACTGGGCTAAATTTAAAATTTTAAAAACAACAGTTAATGATATAATATAATATGAGCAATGCGTTTCATATAAAGTTATATTTTATTTCTCACATTTGCAATAAAATTAAAAACTCTAAATATACGTACGACTATTTGGATCTAAAAAAAAATACAAAAAATGTATTATTTTTAATTTTTATATTAATTGGCTTAATAATAATTAAATAAATTAAAAATAAATTATATAAATTTAAGCTACTATTATCATCAATAAAACGTTAGAAATAGGTTATATTTAGTAGTCAACTTAATAGCCAACTATATGCAAAACGATATATTATAATATATACTATGATTATGATTGTATTGTGATTGAATTAAATATTGTAGTATAATTTTACATATTAGCATAATAAATAATAAATAATCATTACTTATTTTAATATGGTTAAAGTAGACCTACCATTATGTATGAGCCTATTTTTGTTCATTTAAAATTAATTTATTATTGAAAATTACATTAAAGAGGCAGCAGTCTATGAAAAAAAAACTGGCTTTAAAAGTTTAATAAGTTTAGATAGCTGTGATTCATAATATTCTGAATATTGTTAGTGTCATGATGAATAATAATATTACTAAATATCATATTTTTAATCATAGATATATATAGAAAAAAATAGATATTCTAAATGCCCTCTATAGTAACCTAGTAAACTATTGTTAATCAATTTAAATCATTTTTTAAAAATTTAAGTCTGTCAAACCAAACCCACATTATTGGTCAAATAGCCATTTTTTTTAAATTGAAATATGTTTATCTAATTTAATATGATCTTCAATTTACATGTACAGAGTATGTATGTTAATTTTTTATTGTAAATATAAATAATACCGGCCTATAAAATTATAATAATATTATATTTCAGTACATTTCTAGGAATGATTTCTAAAATGATTACATATTAGACTCTCACACACTTATGTGTGCTTACTTTAAACACACTTATAACTTATAAGTCACTTTGATATTGTCATCATGTTAAATTACATATATTAATTTCCTTAAAACACAACCGACTGCAGCCTCCTTAAAAACTAAAATTCATTTGACATCAAATTATTAAAGTTTTAATTTGGTCTAATATACTTAAAAAAAAAGGTTATAACAAAATGATTTATTTGTTAGTTACAATGTTCTCACTTTTAAGTACACCATTTTCGTTATACAATCCTACAAAATTTTAAATCAATTAAATCAAAAATATAAAATTATGCATGAGTAGATTTACCATAAGAAATTGATTACTTGAATGGTTCACAATCTCTTATGACGCAATCCACTAAATCTTACTAAACATTTCGTAAGACACTTTCGTAATAACTTTAATAATTTATAAATACGACAAGTAGACTTTCAAATAGAAATCAATGCCAATAAATATTTATTAGGTATTTATTGTTTTTAAGAAACTATATCACTTTGGGTAATGATCAAATACTAACCATAGTTTAAAAATACACAATATACACCAACCTATTAATTGTTTCTAAATACTTAATAATCTTATTTTCCTTAAAAATTAATTATTTTATTCTTCTTCTTCTTTTTTGGATTTATCTGGCCACAATAAGACCATACTGTCTCACAATAAATCCAACAACGAAAAGACAGAACTAAAAAACTTAGAAAAGAGCTCAGATGCATCTACATTGTCAGTGCAAAAGATACCATTAAGGTTTACTGTAGATGGAAGGTTATTTCTATTTTTGTTTTTGCGTAAAAAGTCCCAGAAATATTTAGGGTTTGGCATGAAGGATGATTCGGCATTTTAACAACTTGTTAGTAACATCTACCAGACTCATACTTGAATTGGGCACGCAGAGAAGAAAAACAAGAATAATCAAAGGGGTTCAAGGTGGATCTAAAAAGAGCATGGGCTTTTTTTTACGGATAAATAGGCGTTTTAGATCACTTGTAAGCTACGGCGGATACGTAGAGTTTTTGTATTTTACTAATGGAACAAAGTTAGAAACACAGTAATTAAGAGCATGAGAGCCGCCTCATTAGTATTTAACGCAGAAATATTGTCACGCCAATTATAACTTACCAAAAAAGTTTAACTTTTACAAAATCTGTCTTATTGAAATCTGGATAATAGCGCAAATCATTGAAAGTAGGAACAATTTGAGAACTAACAACATCAAAAACAAGGGATGTATGATACCTGTCCTCGGGAACAACAAGGATATCATATCTTTAATAACGATATTACGCTCATTTCTAAAGACCAAATCTAACAAGGTATCATAAGTATTTCTTATTTCATTCAATTGGAAGAAATTGAGACAGGCAAAGCATTCAGGGATACAAGGAATAAGCGCATCTGTAAGGGAATGTTAGGGAAGAATAGATAAGCCTCGTTTCATCATTTGACCACAGTACATCTGGAAGATTCAAATCACCACAGACAATAAAAACACTACCATTATAATTCGAAACAATACTCTCAAGTTCCGAAGTAAATGACTCATAAACACTAACAGGCGAGATATTAGGGAAGTAGACACCGAAGATAATATACGAGATTGAGTTGAAATAAATTTTTAAGAAAACCCACTCAGCCTTTATTGAAAAACTTTATTGACAGGTATTTCCAACGCACTAACATCGTTTTTCACTGCTATGAGGATACCGCCACTCCTATTATGAACACTAGTAGCACTGGACCTATCACATCTAAATACATTATAATTGATTAGTCCTAGTTCACTAGAAAATATGCTATCATTGGGCCATGTTTTAGTAAGAATGACAAATATAAAATCAAATATAGCTACATTAACATTCACGGTAGGAATCTTAGTTCGGAGACCACGGCAATTTTTGTAAAATCCAAAAGAAAGTGAATCTAAAGGACAATTTTTACTTGAGCCAACAGAATAAATAGATACATTTACATTAGAAAAAACAATATTTACAACAGGTGAACATTTACTGGTAGAGTCGACACAAACCGGAACTAGTTTTTTGGTGAAGAAGGCACCATAATCTTCTCAGGCAGAGGTTTTCCCTAGAAACGCTTGATAATGATCAGTTCAGGCCAAAAAGTTGGTTGAAGCACATCATCTAGTAGAGCAGTTGGCAGCCGGATATCTAAGGAAGCATAAGATGGGTTTTTGGTAACCATCTGAGTGACAGTCACATCCAATGTGTTAGTGAAAAGTTCACTCATTAATTGAACAGAAGTGACCTGTGGACAGAACCTAAATACGAAGACATCAGCAAACTTAATCACAGGCACAGTTGGGAGATTTGCAAAAACTTTTCTATTTGTGCCAACAGTAAATTTTTGAGAACAATACGGACGATCAAGATTGGCTGGAATTGATTTTAGAACGTTGGTGGCAGTATTTACAGGATCAGTCTTCACAGATACCTGGGAGGCGGATTGTTTCATTGCAGATGAATTTACATTAAGCTTATTAAGCTTGTCATGGAGCTTGAGGTTACTAGAGGAGATAGTTTTAGGTTCATCGACAACGGACTTGAGAATGAGCGCAACACTAGTAGGGTCGGCTGAAGAGGAGACATCATTTCCTATGCTAGCTCCCTCTAACAAAGACAGCAGGTCATCACTCAATTTGACAGAAGAAGGTATGGTTCTCTTGAGGATATACTCAATGAGCATTGGCTTTGTCCATTTATTGAGCTCAGAAGATAAATGCTCTTAGTTGCCACTCATTGTAGACGGAAGACGGATATTATGGTTCTTGAGATTGAACAAAGCCAACCGTATATGCGAAACAAAAACTACGCCTTGAATTTGGAGAATACCACTCAATAAACCCAACTGCAACGCGCGGATCAAGATACCTAGCATTAAAGTCGCCAGAGAGAAATAACGTTTGGGACTGATTGAACTGAGTAACGGCGGCAAGTGAAATGATAACAATAAACGAGTGATAATACTCACCTAAGCAATTTTCGACACAACTACAAGACTATAGATTAAATCTTGAATACGGCAAATTGTTGGTTGCGACAACGCACAATAAACAAGCAGTAAGTACTAAACTATAGACATTAAAAATGGTCGTTCAAAAAGCTGTCCCAAAAGCACAAAAAAAAAAAATAATAAAATCTAGTAGAGAGCAGCAGAACTGTTATCACTGTTATTATTTTTGATTAGTGATAGTTCCATAGATAACACCATAAATCAAAATTCAGTGTTGCCAGTTATAGTGTTATTATTGTAATATTGTAATATTATTGTACTATTGATCAAATAAAAAAAAAAGGTTGTGTTATTATTTTTTTGATACCATCATCATGGTTTTTAAAAGAAATTTGGTATCTGTGGGGTTCTTCTGGCACTCCACCCTATATGCGATTTACATAGGCATGTCCTATCCATTATGTATTATCTATAGTATCTCCACAGAACACTACTTAAGTAGTACAAATTATCTGAAGAATTTGAAAATGTTAAAAAATTCCAAAAATAAGATTTTAAATAACTGCATTATTAAAGAAAAAATTGGTGAATCACACTGTTTATTATATAGTGCTTATAATGTATAACAAATAAGTACTATGTGATTAGGAACTATGTAGTTTCTACTATATGTAGTAACTATATGATGTGGGAATATATTTTATCAAGTAGTTAATTATTATGGGTAAGACCATATATTATAAGACATAACCTTAAATATTACATATATACTCATAGCTTTAAAAAGTAAAGCTAAAAATATTTGTAGGCTGGTAGACATAACACCGTTTTGTAACTTATTAGAAAAACAAAAAAATAATCGAAAAAAATTTAAATAATGAAGAATTATACTTTATACATATTACAGTTATCTACAAAAGGTTAATGAGCTGGGAAAGATCTCTAAAGTATCATATTAGAAATTAAAAAATGTAATTAATTGAGATATATGAATTAATTTCTTTAATGAAAATACTGATTAAATAATAAAAATGATTTACGAATATTTAATGATAACTGAATGGACCAGGGGAATTTGATATCAACAATACGACATACATTTTACTACCCACCTAATGTTTTGGAGTCAGAATATTACTCATAAAAAAATAAATACTAAATGTATTTCTAATAATAAATAAATTAGTAAATATTTTTTTGTGTTATGCTCAAATATAAAAATACCTATGTCTTATCAATATATGTAAAATTAAAATAGGTTAAATTTACCTTTATGATCATACAAGTCAATGTTTATAAGTTACACTTATGTCTATTATACTTCAAAGAAGAATGTAATAAAATTAAGTATTGGTTAATTACAATATCCTTACCATTAAATGCAATAGATGTATTTAAAAGTTCTAGAACATTTTAAAATGATTAAAACAAAATGATATTATAAAACAATGCTTGAGTACCTAAGTATTATAAATGTATTCATTCAATGGTTCTCTTATCTCTTATGATCCAATTATGGATAACTAAATCTTACTAAACATTTTAAATATTATGTTATATTTAAGGTATTTTCTTAATACCTACCGATAGTAATTTATGAATATGACAAGTCGACTTTCCAACGGAAATCAACGTCAATTAATTATTGATTTGGTATTTATATTTTTTGTGAATTTATTAATTAGTATAGTGGGCATTAATACCAACCATAATAAATTTAATAATACACAATATTTATCAAACTTTTATTTTTTTTTTAAATACTCAATCATTTTATTTTTCTTCTGCTTCTGCTTATTTTTTGGGTTTATCCGGCCACTAAAGACTACCGACCCACATAAAATCCTCAAATCTAATGATTGATCCTTCCAATTTAAACCACCCCCAAATGTTGATCAACCCGCTTCACTGTATCACACATTCACACCACATCATTGTTGGTTTTGCTAATGATCTTATTTCTAGATTCATTTCCATCACATGCCTTAGTAATAAGTTTCGCATCCTCATTTCATATAATACCCAGCACAACTTACCATGTTTATTATCATTGATAATACTACATTGGTTATCTACATCGATCTTTTCCTTATATTTCGTTGTCATAAATCTATGTTTTCTCGTCTTCCACTATCATGTTATAGGTACCGTAAGGTGGGGTTACTTTAATCATTAATTTTCAATTATTTTAGTTTTATACTTATTGTACTAGTAACCAACTGAAATATATAACATTTAATTATTAATAATTATTCTACATTATACCTTTAACTGAAAATTTCTCAAACCAAATTTTTTTTTTACATTTTTACATTAGTTATAACTAATATTAGTTATTGATCAAACTTACCCACCTTTTGGGGTGACTTTGATCGCACCCCTGAAAATGCGTATAAACATGGGTACAGTCATCAAAGTGATCATTCTCGCCCCACAAAAAAATCGGTTCGGTAATTTTTGAGTTTTGAGAGAAAAAATGTTTTGTAGAAAAAAATCAAATGATCAAAGTCGCCCCTTAATGTCAAACTCACCCCACCTTACGGTACCTAACATATTTTATTGACACAACATTTTTCATAATATTTTTCTTTTTAGTATTGAATTGTAATGAATTTATTTTCATATGATTTTCTCCTTCTGAAAGTTTCACACCGGAACAATATTTTTGTGTACGAATATAAAATTGTATACCTATATCATATCTCCCTATTCTAAGTAACTATTTGATTACCAATTAAAAATATTACCTTCACAGAGCCCTGAAAAAAAAAAAAAAATTTCAGTCAATTTTGTCTATTTGCCACAATATTTAGGTAAACAAGTAAACATAATTAACCACCTGTCTGATTATTTTGTATAAATCATTCAATTTGAGAGAATTTATAAATAACTAACTATAGGTAATAATTAATTTCTAAATTAGAGTAGAAGAAAAATTGATTTAAATTATTGTTTACAACATAAATTGATTGTTGTTTGACTAAATAAAATAATATAAATACATTTGATGAGTCATATTATATTAATACACTTTACCGGATATATTAGAATGTAATGACAGAATAATTTATACATTTTAAACAACTCTAAATATAACATTCTTGTTAACAATATAATATTACTGAATAGTGAAAAAAGTGTATGTTCTGTTTGTGCGTAGATTATCATAAAATAACAATAATTAGTTACCGTATTTAAATTAATTATAGTATTAAAAAACTTATTGCTGTTAAATTTTGAAGAATAAAAATTTGAACACTCATATTATAATCATTGTAAATCAATACATTTATTCTTACCAATTAATTTTTCGAAATCTGGTTCAGTAGCCGCCAGCCTAACCCAAACTAAAATTACTATAAATGTAAGCGTTATTAAATATTGCTTAACAAAAATCATTTTGATTTAATATCTTAATATGAGAAAATAATCAAAGATAAAGTGAACGTTGAAGAACAAATTAATTATAACACTATTTCTCGATATCTTTTATAAACAATGTGTTCCTAATTCACACTCCCTAACTTCAAAATAAATTATGTTCACAATAAATTGTTTTTTTAGTAGGTAACAAGTAATAAAATATGACAAGAGAATAATAGTATTCACTATTTTTTAGTGAATGCCATATGTATTATTCTTCATTTCACTTGAGTAAATACTTCGTTCGCAAAATTAAATATGGGAAAGATGGTCTATATAGGCACCTTGAACACAGGCTTTAAATAATAAATTATTATTCCACTTTATTTTATCGACTTCAAATTATCTCTAAAAAAATTTGCCAGTAATATAAAATATTACATTACATAGTAAAATACAATATAATAGTTAGAAACATGGGGAAATACATAGAATTATCATAATATCATACTTATATCAATATAATTGTGTGCTTCATATACTGATATACGTGATATGCCGAAGAAAAATGGAATCTACATATACATAGTTTGAATATAAAAATTATATTATATTATATACAAGGACCTATAGAGTATAGGTAGGACATAATTTGTACCCCTGAAAGAATATTGACACAACTCAAAAAATACGTTTTTCGAGTTATTACCATCAAAATTTGCAGAATTTCAACCTTTATATTTTAGTATGCTTGATATTTTTGATTTAAATATTATTAAAGACAGCATTAGCTCAAATTTCTGCTTTAAATAAAATATAGTTTATTAGTTTAAAGCTGGAATAAAGACATTTTTTAGATGTGACTTTATTCAGGCCTGACTAATGTAGTTACACAATGAAAATGCCATAATATTTATTAATTTTCATATCACTTGAGTAAATAATAAGTATGAAAAATTAAACATAGCAAAGATACTTTGTAGGCACCCAAAACACACGTTTTTAATTTTTACACTTTTCGACTTCAAAATACCACTAAACATTTTCAAATTAATTTGCTAGTTAGTTAGATAGTTAAATAAAAAACACAAATCAGAAATATGTTGAATTACATAATTATCATAATTGATAATATTATACCTATACCATTATAATTGTACTCTTCATATACGTGATCAGTCACAATTTTAAAATATTTGTCATGCCGGAGAAAAAACGGAAGGTGATATGCCTGTTAATTGAGAAGCAACTAAATTTAGTTTGTAAATTAGTTCTATTATATTATATACAAATACCTATGGAGTATAGGAGCTAAATATACCTACAATATTCAACATTTATATTTAACATAATTTTAAATTGTATTGTTTTATTTAAATAAGACGAGACAATTTTAAAGCATGTTTGTTTTATCATGATAATAAAAAAATTTTTCATTATGTTATGATAATATTGTGTTAACTTCTCCAGGGGAAATAACGTCAAAAATCAAGCCGCCGGACCGGCAATCGAACCCGAGTCTCTCGCTTGCCGGGCGATTGCTCTACCACTGAGCTACCCGACCACTTAGACGTATGACACTATCTCCCCAAATTAACGGGAGTTTACAATTGTAAACTATGTTATATTTATTTATTTATTCATTTATTATTAATTTAAACGGGGAGAACCCAATTACAATTTTTAATAATTTAAAAACAATTTTGTAGACTTAAATCTATTAAAAAGAAATACAGTAAATAGTATAATATGTATATATATAAATAATAATATTAAAAACTATAAAAACAATATAAAAATATAATATAGACAATAATAATGTAGGTAGCAGAAATAATTTAAAGATACGCAATATAGTTGCAAAAACAATCAAAAGAAGGAAAACTAAATAGATCTATCTGGACGTCATTAGTTATTTTCATTAATCTATTAATAGTTGAACAAAGTGCGTAATTAGTTCTTTGAAATGGAATGTAAAAAGTATTTGCAGATCTAGTTCGACAATGAGGAACATTACAAATTAAGCAGCTGAGTAATTCGGGACAATTTAAAAAACCATTTACTAATTTATATATAAATTTCAAATCCATGATTTTTCTCCTTACAGCTAGAGTGGTCATATTAATTGGTTTAATAACGGTGTATATTGTGAGTGTGGTTTACGTGGTATATTGCATTTGTAATAGATAAAACGAAGAAAACGATTTTGAATAGCTTCTAAGCTCTGTATATGAACAACACTAGAGGGTGACCATACAACCGAGTTGTATTCCAGAGAAGAACGCACTAAAGGAAAAAAAAGAATTTTTATGGCATCGAAATTTGTAAAATCTTTACAAGTTCTATTAATGAAACCTAATATAGTAGATGATTTTTTTTGTTATGTTTAAATAATGTTTATTGAAAGAAAAGGTTGAGTCAAATGTAAGCCCCAAATCGCAAATTTCAAAAACGCGTTGAAGTACAATATTATTTATGGTATAATCATTAATAATTGGAAATCGAGACCTAGTAAACGAAATTACTTCGCACTTATCAATATTTAAGGGTAACTTGTTTAAATTACACCAAACAGATAGTGTATTTAGATCATTTTGAAGGAGTGCTGAATCAGAATGTGATTTAATTAAACGTAAGATTTTCATATCATCGGCAAAAAGTAATTTATTAGAATTGGGAAGATGTAAATCATTTATGAATAATAAAAATAACAATGGGGCTAAGTGAGATCCTTGAGGAACGCCTGATGGAATGTTGAAAGGATCAGAGTGAACATTTTTTAATTTTTTAATTTGCATTCTGTCGGTTAAGTAGGAATCCAACCAAGACAAAAAAGGGTCACGAATGTCGATAGAATACAGCTTAATTGAGAGAATATTGTGATTTATTTTGTCAAAGGCCTTTGCAAAATATGTAAAAATAACATCTACTTGATAACCGGAAGCAAAAGCATCTAGTACGTATTTTTGAAAAATTAAAAGATTAGTCGTTGTTGACTTGTCTTTCAAAAAACTATGTTGGTCATCATTAAGTAGGGAAGTAAGTATAGGATATATTTTTTCATAAATAATGGACTCAAATAGTTTTGGAATAATTTAAATAATAGAAATAGGCCGATAGTTAATTATATTAGTTAAATCTCTTCCTTTATTGATAGGCTTGACAAAACTAATTTTCCTATTAGATAGAAAACAACCACTAGAGACGGATAAGTTATATAAACGTAATAAACTAACAGCTAAAACGAATTTACAGTTAGTAAAGAAACAGTTTGAAATCATGTCAGGACCAGGACTGGTTTTATTAGTGATATTTTCTAATTTATTTAGGACGTCTGTAATGCTTAAAGTATATGAGTTTAGATTTACTTCAATCGAATTATTATTGGTAGATGGCTGATGAGTAATTAAGGTTGAAGAAACTTGATTTTCATAGAGGCTGGAAAAATAATGAGCAAAGCAATCCACAATATCCCTACCTCCAACAAATAAATCATTGTCATATACCATGGTGTTTGGAAGGGTCGGACACATTTTTTTATGGTTAAAGAATTTCCAAAATAATTTAGGATTTGTTTTAATAGAATTCTGCATGTTGAAAATATAAATATTGAACCATATTATAGGATGCTTATTATTAAAAAAGGTTTTTTTGGTACATGAGTATCTATAATCTCAAAAATAATATCATAAAACACATGAACAGCATCATTAATTTGCAAATTATGAAACACGCGATCCCAATTAGCAGAAGCTAATGAAGATCTAATAATATTATAATCACAGTTTAAATAATCATATATAGTTTCATTAAAATGCAAAGGTTTAATATTAAAATTAATTTTAAATTTAATTAGTAAAGCAGGGTGATAGAAATAATCTATAGGAACCAGCGCATACTGTTAACGCATTTTATAAAATTAAGTCTAAAATAGAATTTTAATTATTTTTATTGTATTAAATTGTTTTAGATTAAGATAAGAAAAATTAGCTAATGCGTCCGATTCTATGTTACCATATTTATGAGGAACAGCTACATCATTAGGTAATGACCATTTAATAGCAGGTAAATTAAAATCACCTAATATAATAATTTTGGCATTATTGTAATTACATAACAAGCTATTAACCGTATCAGTATGATCATTATAAATATTTATATTAGAATTATGTGGAATGTAGATAGCGCCAATTAAAAGTACAGAAAACTCAAAAGATAATTTTACAAATAGTTGTTCAATATTATTATTCTTTTTTGCGTTTTTTCTTACATTTAATTCATCGATTACAGATTTAAAGTGACTTCGTTGAATCAAAGTTCTATCCGTTAAATAGTAATATTTTTAAAATCATCCATGTTTTTAAGCTTACGTTTATTTTTAAGAATTTCGAAAACATCATATTGAGTAGGCAGAGTAGCTCGGATAGGCCTATTTTTATTTGATGATTTACCCAAACGTAGAACATTAATAGGATCAACAATGACATCAATTCGACGAAAGATATTAGAAATACACATTTTGTCGTCCGCATTTTACTGGGTTTCAGGTAGATTAAATAAAAAAAATTAAATTAAAGGGACTGATAAACTCGGGACGCCTGCGGATCGGCATGGTGAGCTGCAGGGTGAGGCTGGCCGAGACCAAGACTAGATGCTTTCGCTGCCTAGCGTTTGGGCACACCTCGAAGACGTGCGATGGCCCTGATAGGACCAAGTGCTGCAGGCGCTGCGGCGAAGCTGGACATAAGGCGGCTAGCTGTAGTGCAGATGCCCTGGTGGTGAGCGCCTTCGCCAAGATTGTCGACGCTAACGCAGCCAAAGTTGTACCGCCATGATGATGACGAACCCTTTCGACCCCACACACGCAGTTCTCTCGGATGGAATTAAAGTAATTCAGATTAACCTGAATCACTGTTGGGCTGCACAACAATTGCTTCTCCAGACAATGGCAGAATTGCAATCTAGTATTGCAATCATTAGCGATTACTATAGACCAATGGGTGGCGATGAACGGTGGTTCAATAGTGTCGACGGAAAATCTGCAATCTTCGTAACGGGTAATCCATGTCCCACTATTACTCATCACGGCGCCGGACCAGGTTTCGTTTGGGTAAGAATCGACAACTTAGTACTATATAGCTGTTATTGCAGCCCTAACTGCACTCTGCAAGAGTTTGACGCTTTCCTTGGCGGCCTCGAAGCGTCCATCCGCCTACAACCCTGTAGACAGGTAAACCTTGTAGTGGCCGGTGATCTAAACGCGCACTCTGCCGAATGGGGATCGGCCAGGCAAGGTGCGAGAGGGTCACTACTTTCGGACTTTGTGTCGTCCCTCGGCATGGTAGTCAGCAATAGAGGCTCCGTACCCACATATAGAAGGGTGAATGCAAGCTCGGTTGTCGATGTCACCCTTGCTAAATCTCTACCCAACAATCACCCGTTGGTAAAAGACTGGAAGGCGCTGGAACACGTATACTCGGCCAGCGATCATGTGTACATCTCCTACGCAATCGCGCTACCAGAACGTCGCACAAACAATAACCCAGTCAGAGTTGCGGTCGCAGGTTGGTCGATTAAAAAACTCAACCCGGCGTTGCTGGACCTACATTGGGGTCTAGTGCTTCCCCCCCTCCCGCCGTCAGCAGGCGCGTCGGCAGACTGTCATGCAGATAGCCTCAACAGCTTTCTAACAGAAGTTTGCAAGGCGGCGATGCCACCAAGAGCAGCGCTGACGGGGAAAAAATCTGTGCATTGGTGGAACGCCGAGATTGCCGAACTACGCAGGATTGCCATTGCCGCCCTAAGGAGGTATCAGCGCGCAGGCCGCAGATCAGGTGCTCCACTACGGGTGGCTGAACGTGAAGCTTATAACACGGCTAGGATGAACATCAAGAAGGCAATTAGACAGGCGCAGGAAAAAAGCTGGCATGAGCTGTGTCTTGCAGTCAATAATGACCCCTGGGGCGTCCCTTACAGGCTGGTTACAAAGAGGCTTGGGCGTCGCGCTCCTGCCATGGATCTGGTGACTGTAAGCAACGTGGCACATGGCCTTTTTCCGTCGCCACCAGCTACGGACTGGGTTCACATCCCCCTGTCTATACAGCAGTCGTCAGTCTTAATTGATCTATCCGATTGTGCACCAATGGCGCCACCAATTACTGCGCACGAAGTCAAGTGCGCAGTCGATAGACTGCCATCTGGTAAGGCGCCAGGGCCAGATCAGGTGCCAAATGAGATAATAAAGTTGGCCTTCGCCAAGTTTCCGGAGAGATTCATAAATTGCTATAACGCGTGCCTAACTAATAGGACCTTCCCATCCCGGTGGAAATGTGCAAAACTAGTACTGCTACATAAGGGCCAGGGTAAGGCACGGGACCTGCCCTCCAGCTACCGGCCGATTAGCCTGCTAGATGGGGCCGGCAAGGTGTTCGAAAGGGTGCTGTTAAACCGACTCGAGGCCCATATCACTCGGGTCGGCGCAATTAGTGACTCCCAATTTGGGTTTAGACGGACGAAATCAACCACGGACGCAATAGAGGGAGTCATGAAGACGGCTCACGAAGCGAACCACGGCCCAGTTCGAGCCAGGAAACTATGTGTCCTCATTACCCTGGACGTGAGGAATGCCTTTAACTCTGCGCCTTGGAGGCTTATCGATGAGGCACTGAGGAAATCCGTAGTCCCCAAGTACTTAGTTGAGATAATGCGTTCCTACATGCAGGCCAGGAATCTGAAAATAACCGATGACATTAACATGGGGGTAACATGCGGGGTCCCGCAAGGATCAGTCCTCGGCCCCACACTGTGGAACCTTTTTTATGACGGTGTGCTGCGCATCCCAATGAGAATGGCGCCAAGCTAATTGCATTTGCGGACGACGTGGCAGTAGTGGTAACTGCTTTCAATGCAGAGCTCGTCGAACAGATTGCGAATCCCACCCTGGAAGATATAGCAGCCTGGATGACCACCAATGGCCTGCAGCTAGCACCTGAGAAATCGGAGTGTGTAGTTCTGACAAACAAGAAGAAATTTCGCAACCCGGACCTTTTCATCCATGGTCATCAGATCCCGTCCAAGCGGGCCATCAGATATTTGGGAGTCCAATTGGATACCAGGCTTTCATTTATCGAACACGCGAGCACTGTAGCTGTTGGGGCGAGGAAGGCAGTAGCCGCCCTGGGCAGACTCATGCCTAACGTCGGAGGCCCGACGCAGGTGAAAAGACAGCTCCTAATGAGTGTGGTCCATAGCCGACTGCTATACGGTGCAGCAATCTGGTCAGAAGAAGTATCCAGGTTTCAAAAGTCTAGTAACGTAATGCTACAAGCGCAGAGGTGTGCGGCACTGAGGGTTGCAAGGTGTTATCGTACAGTGTCCGATATGGCAGCCCTTGTACTGGCCAAGATGCCCCCGGCAACCCTCCTAGCGGGAGTCAGGAAACAGATTGCGGCAGCGAAAAAAGCCGGCGCTGCTCTGTCCAAGCGTGATATGATGGCCGATGTCCTTAGACGTTGGCAAAATCTATGGGACTCTACCGGAAAGGCGGCATGGACTAAACGGCTGATACCCAATCTGTCCAGGTGGTGGCAATGTGGTCCACGCGAAGTGAGCTACCACATGTCGCAGGCCCTTAGTGGCCATGGCTGTTACCAAAATTACCTTTGGACAAGGAACAAGGCGCCGAGTCCAGCTTGTCCCCACTGCACCGCAGAGGTCGACGACGCTGAGCACACTGTGTTTGTGTGCTTCTTCTGGAGTGAGGAGAGGAAAGAGGTTGAACAATCCCTGGGCCGGCCAGTACGTCCGGAGGACGCCATGGACCTCCTGTGCGGACCATCGGCAGCGGAGTTACCAACCGAAGTACCACTCAGGGGTAGGATCCTGGCTGCAGCAGAGAAAAGGAAAGTCCAGTTCGCTCAGATGGTTGAGGTGATCATGGGCCGCAAGGAGGAGCTGGAGAGGGCGAGACAGCGGGAAGCTGCGGTGGAATAAAGGCGACCTGTCAAGTCATCTTAGTAGAGATTTTGTTTGTTGTAGGCTGAATGGCCAAACTTTTCAGGGTGGTTAGAGGCCCCCATTTTTATTTGTAACTAAATTTATATGATGTTATGCAATGTGATGTATATTGTATCAATAAACGATGCGGCCAGGGAGGCAGCAATGGGGAAACCTACTTCCCTCCCTGTCCGTGATTCCAAACCGGAAAAAAAAAAAAAAAAAAAAAAAAAAAGGTAGATTAAATAAAATAATGTTGCAACTTCTAGACTGACGGTAATTAATCTCGGCAAATACATTTTCTTGATTTATTGAGTTTGAGCTGTTATAATTGAGTTCTGATTTAGAAAAATTTGTTTCAAGTTGTTCCATTTTAGTTTCCATTGATTTGTTTTTAATCAAAAATTCATTAAATTGTTTGGATATATGGTCTAACTTACCGCTAAGATCATTGAATCTTGAATCATTGGCATTCTTATCCTCCCGAAATTGATTAATTGCTGTTATAATTTTGTTCTGTGTACCTTTCATTTCATTTATGGATTTAATAATTGTGTCCAGTTTATCAGAAGAATTTGTTAAATCGATGTCGTCTATAGTAAAATAAATCGGAAGTACAGTTTATAAAGAAAACGTGATTTATTATAATAAATATTTAATATTATTACTTATTAGCCGGCTAAACATTGTTATTATAATTAAAGCGAGAGTAATAAGATAAGACACAACCTTCACCTATAAGTGAAATTATACAATGAATTATATAATAATTCATTATAAAGTATAAAATTTTATATTATAATAATATAAAATTATATACTTATATCTAGTAATTGCAAATATACATATAAACGTTGCAGAGTTTTTTATGCTCAATCGTGTTGGTTTTCATTTGTATTTCAATTTCCTTTGATACGCCGAAAATGTATGCTCAATCGTGTTGAAAAAAAGGTGTTTTATGCTCAATCGTGTCTCAGCCGGGCGAGACATTTAATATATGAAATTTATAAATTTTTAAATTTATTTTTATTTTTACATTTTTACATTTTATTTATTTAATATGTAACATATTTGGTGAAAATGTCAAGACTCTACGGAAATTTTTTAACTACCTACAAGAATAACATTTAATTAATTTTGCATTAAAATGCTGGGTGTAGCAATTTTTTTTTGCTTTATGTGTTTAATTAAATATTTAACCACCAGTATAGGTTGTACCAGGGGTACGAAACTCCGTGCGTTGGCCAAATCAGGTGATTTCGGCCTTGAACACGGTCTCCAGGGGGGGGGGCGTGGCATACGTGAAATAGGGAATGGTAAACAAACCTACCCCGCGTATCCCGCCATAGTCTTAGAACCGTTTTCATAATATTGGTAACCACGGGTCTAAGATCATGTTGGTGCGTGAAACCGTTTCCATGTTTTTCGTAGGTTCAGACTTCGGATCATAGGTAACCAAGACCCCAATCAGCTGATCGAGTTTCGCTTCTATATTGATCTATGGTTGTACGCCTGTACGAGTATATAGTTGTAAATAATAAATATACCAACTAACGGTTCTGTAACCATAGTATAAAATATAGTATATTACAATTTGTGTTTCAATTAGATTTAAGTGCATCTCGGAGGCTCGTTTGACTCACTCAAAGTGGGTACCGATTTTGGAATAAGAGTATTTTGAATAATAAAAGCCTCGACAACTGTAAGCCAAAAGTTTAGGATTTGTGATAAGGATTAGTGATATGAATTGGATATAAGGTGTGCCATTTTGGCACGAATGGATCTTCGCAGGAAAAATCACAAATTATTCCAGTTTGGCGTTACTATTCTATTATCACAAAATAATATTGAATTGCCATTTATTAAAATATACTTTTTAACATCACAGAATTTTTGAACTGTATTACACAGTATACGAGCGTACCCATAACATTATCGGCAGGTGATTATACCTCTGTTGCCATACGTGAACCTGATAGTGCGCGTTAATACAATAACCATTGACATGTTATGTAACACTCGTCCCCCGACCACACCTGCAGCAGTGTTAACCGTCGACGACCGCGGCTGTCCGCCGTCCACCTCCGACCGGCGCTTCTGTCGCGATTGTCGGTACACACATCGCAGTGCTTCTGCTCCAAAGAAGCTTATTATTTGACGAATGCCCACACTGTCCTGCCCCTACTACAAGGGCAAAGACGAAGCATAGCCACCGGCAGAGCACTGTCACCATCGGCTCAAAACTCACTCGTTTTTTCACTGCCCGTCCGGAAGACTTTCCCGTCGTTTTCCGTCTTTCTGTTCAACATCATTACACCTGCTCCTTAAACACCAAACACCTCGTGGTCAATCACCGCACACAACGACCGTGATTTTTCATTACCGTTTTTCAACCCCGGGCACATCGCAGAGATGATGGGTTAAGCGGCTACTATGGGCTCAAGGATGGGCGAAGTCACCAAATACCAGCTCCGTTTCAGTACAGCTACCTAGTCAAAATGTCGTAATATATTGAATTTTTCCCTCATGTTACCCACTGAAATAAGGTTAGCTTTCACGGCGCACTCCGTGGGTCCTTATTTTATTTTTCCTTTAATCCTTTCATCTCCGGCTGTCGCAAGCCCCACTGCTTCACAGCGCGTCATAGAACTAAATAAAAAATATCTTATTCTATTGTAAAATACATTTCACACCCACTCCCGGTAACCCTGCGAAGCCAACTGCGAGCTATGCAGTCTGTAGTTTCCAGTGGGCCGGGAGGTTGTCAGTTTGAAATAGAATTTAAAAAAAACATCATAAAACCCTTCGTTCGACGATGTATGATTTATTGTAAATTAAAATATGATAGTTTTCGACAAGCCCCAAACTCCTCCTGTAATATGGTCCATCCCTCTTGATTAAACTTACCATGTGCTCTAAAAAATATTATTATTCTTAACGATAACGCCATTATCCTTGTTAAAGACCTAAATTATTATTATCATGTGATTAACATGAAAATATATAACAATCAAATGTATTATTATTACAGTCATGTAAAATACACACCAACTTATTACCCAAAACCTCAACTTATTATTATTATTTTATTAATGACGCAACTTTTTCCACTGTAATACATAAATCTCTGGCATTCATTTATATCTGTATCTGAGGTTATCAACCATACATTATCTTCAACTTGTTCTATTTTATCCGATTGAATGCCTTTACTTTTATAAATTATTATGACTACTAATAATTTGTAACATTTTGGAAGATTTTTTTCTTTCGATATTTTTATCACTCTTTCAAAAGACTTGTCTCTTACTAATAACATTGACGTAAAGTGACTGACTTACATATTTATTATTGGTAAATTTTATTATTTACAGTGGAACCTCGATTATCCGGGGTAATGGTGGGGAGGGGGTCACACGGATAAATGAAAACCACGGTTAATCGAGACTTTTTATAATAATGACATTTTTTATTTAATTATAATTAGAAATACATAGGTACAATTTTATTTGTTAGCCGAGCTAGTGTATATTACGTCGTTCGTCGCACGCGTCTTTTTGACCTGGTTGTAATTTTTAAGAATGTAATTGTGATATCTCGGTGATATGAGTCCTTTTTGAAATTGTTTGATTAAATATTATGATATTTTTATTTTTATTATTGACTGCTGCTGTTATTATCGTGATTATAAAGTAAACGAAAGCAATATTACCACTAGGAATGGCAAAATATCGATATATTTAAAAAACAAAATTAAAATAATTAATTTAAAAAAATAATAAAATTAAGGCAAATCGTCCCTGTCAATGAAGTGGGTTGAATTTAGTTCAATTTGTGATTGATGCAGTAACATATGGGCCACGAATTGTGACAAACCTAGCACTTTGGAGAGATTTAAAACTATATTGTGGGGATGGAAATCAGGACGATCAGGCACGGATGGTATTGCAGGTAACTGCGATCGTGGACGACAATTTCGGTGATTGTTTAATCACTATTATAGTCCTCGAACAAATTTCGAATTCACGTGTCACTTGAAATACGTTTTTATTCAAAATATATATCCGTGTCACGGATACACGGATGCAAAAATACACTTGTTCCATTGAGACCTCTAATATCTACAGTCCATACTTTTTTTTAAATTTTTGGAAGAGTGAGCACGGTTTATCGCGAATATGGATAATCTAGTCACGGATAATCGAGGTTCTACTGTATATTAAATTATTTGAATTTTTATTTTTGCATATGAAATTATGATGTAATATGAATATGATTTTAATATTATCTTGTTACCAAAACAAGCATTAGTGGTCATAGAATTTATATCATGAACGAAGATATCTTATAGCTTTTTCGATCTGACTGCGCTAATGTTTACGGAATAGGAATATTAAGTACTAAATTTTTCAACGTCGAAATCCGTCAAAGTAGTTAGTCCTATCCTATCCTGGGATGAGAAAAACAAAAAAATGTTTGTACTTATGCAACTCATTCCATCTAACACAATTAAGATGTCTTCAGTAACTAGTGATGAATTAATGAAAACAGTCAGTTTCCAGTAAGGATACATTCCTTAATTTTAATACATTCATGTTCAGAGGTGAATTCGAATTATGGAAGACTAAATGGACCACACAAAATAATGAAGGTACTTAATTTAACACTAATTATATTATATTTTATAAAGGATTAAAGTTTTCATTCAATTTTGTTTTCAATTTTTGCCTCCATGATTACCAAATGCCGGGTATTTTAAAGCGATAAGAACATTCCCGAAATCTCTACCACTTTATCCACGCCCACTAGATCATTTTTAATCGTCGGATTTGACTGCCACATCCTGTTCATTTATTATATTTTCTTTTCCGTCGACTATTATAATATGTGAATGACAAATTTTTGATATTTTAACTGATCCAATACTTTTTAATACTCTCTTTCGAAAATTATGCTTGTATATAGTTTTTTAAAGAATAAATAAATGTATTAAATAG